GCCTTTCAACCAGCACCACATGTGATTATTGGCCAGGCTGGCACAATTAACTAACTCAACTATTGTTAGATTTTAAGAGGACCTCAGGGGATATTTTTGGCTTTAGATGTAAAGATGATCTAAGTGCAATAGTTTCAGGGTTTCATCCAGCTTGCGTGACTCCAGAATGGCTGTAGTCCATGAGAATTTGGAATTCTGTTTTGCATGCCCCTCTTTTGATCAGGATTCTTCTACAGCTAGATAGTTCAGCAACATGGCAAGCCAAGCGTCATCTAGTTCTTCTGATCCCGTGGTAACAGAGCAATGCTCATGGAAGCAGGGAACCACACATTCCATGACGCTGTTAGACGCCAACAAGTAGGTTCCCACTCACAGCGACCCTCTGTGCAATAGAACCGAGACCCACCCTGGTCCTGCACCATCCTAACGAGTGTTGTGATGCTCAAGCCCATTGCTGCGGCCCCTGCATCCATCCATCTGGGCGAGACGCTTCCTCTTCCTCTGATGTCCTTTTCCAGGGACTGACTTATCCTGATAACATGTCCAACGTGCATGAGAGAGAGCCTCTCCACCCTGACCTCTAAGGAGCATTCTGGTTGTACTTCTTCCAAGAAAGACTTGGTTGTCAGTTCACGGTACTTTCAACATTCTTTGCCGGCACCACAATTCAAAGGCATTGATTCTGCCTCAGTCTTTCTGTGGTGTGGCTCAGGCTCACCTTAGTCCTTACAGCGACATCCTTGCTCCTCAATACTTTCAGTACTTCAATACTTTAAAAAGCATTGAAATCTTGTGCAGCAGACCTACCCACGCAATGCATTGTTTGATCTCATCACTGCTGCTTCCATGAGCAATTGTTGTGGACCCACATAAGACGAAATCCTTGACAACTTTCATCTTTTCTCTGTTGATTGTGATGTGACCTATTGGCCTGGTAGTGAGGATTTTGGTTTTCTTAACATTGCGTTAGAATTCATACTGAGGGCTGCAATCTTTGTCTGCATCAGTATGTGCTTCAAGTCTCCCGACTTTCAGCAAGCAAGGTGGTGTCAGCTGCATCCTGCAGGTTGTAAATGACACTGCTGCTTTCTTCATATCGTCCAGCTTCTCCAATGAGATTGAATAAGTGTGGTGATAGGACACGACCCTGGCACACACCTTCCTGATTTTAAGCCCTGCAGTATTCCCTTGTTCTGTTTGAAGGACTGCCCCTTGCTCCACGTACAGCTTCCCCAGGAGCAATGGCGTGTTCTGGAATTCCCCTTAGTCTCGGTGCTCTCCATCGCCTGTTATGACCCACACAGTCCATACCCTCCTCCGATTCCTGACCTCCTTCTTCCTCGGCGCGTCAGGTGGATGGAGACCATTGGCGCCTCTGATGGCTGCTTGCAAGATGGTAGGATTACAAGCACTAACCAACAACCTAGGAGGTAGTACAGAGTCACTAAACGTTTAATTAGGTCAATTAACAGACTTCCCATGAAACCAAGACCCTAAATTCCAGATCAAGGAACCAAATCGCATGAAGTTTCTTTTTTCTTTTTTGTTATATTCATATATAAGCCGTCTCAGCAGCTACACATTTAGTTTCCTTTTTTGGTCACTATTGCAAATATGAAGGAGCCTTGGTGGCATAGTGGTTACACACTGGGCTGTGATTCTCATGGTTGGCAGTTCAAAACCGCTGAGGGAGGTAGATAGGGCTTTCTACTCCCATCAACAGCTGCAGTCTCAGAGACCTCGGTGGTCACTATGAGTCAGCACTACTGACCGCAGCAGGTTTGGTCTGGAGTGTATATATATATATATATTCAGACTATGTCACAAACCAGTGTTTTACAAGTGTACAACTTACAATAACAATAGTGATCGATGACAACAGCCGACTGTGTGGCCTTATCCTTAATCAATGTGAATTTGCCATCACTATTAACTACCCTCTCACACCTCCTTCCCTTCCTGGTAAACATGACTAAACTTGGGTCTCCATATTTTTACTTTTTCTTGCTTCTTATGTAAGTGTGGTCATACAATCATTCTTTTGTGTTTGACTTATTTCCCTCAGCTTTATCCATATTGCAATGTATGCCAAGATTTCAGCTCTTCTATTGCCAAACAGTATTCTGTGTATGTATGGACCGCATCTTGTTGATCCATCCATCTGTTGTTTCAACCTTCAGCTGGTTGTGAATAGTGCTGCAGTGGGCAGTGGACACTGGACATTGGTGTACAAGTCTCTGTGTTCTAGGCTTTGGGGTATACACCCAGGGGTGCAGTTACTACATTATATGGTAGTTCTTTTTTTTTTTTTAAGGGTGGAACACCACATTATTTTCTACAGTGCTTATACTGTTTTACATTCCCACCAGCAATAGATAAAGATTCCAATTTCCACACAGCCTCCTCAACATTTGTTATATTCTGTTTTTGTTTATTTTATCCGAGTCACCCCAACACCAAAGCCCAGTGATGTCAAGTAGACTCTGGTTCCTGGAGCCCCAACAGGACAGAGCTGAACTGCCTCTTAGGGTTTCCAAGGCTGTTAATCGTGACAGAAGCAGACCAAGTGCCACAGCTTTCTCCAACCCAGCGGCGTGTAGATTCGAACCACTGTCCTTTTGGTTAGCAGTCGAGCACTTTAACCACTGCCCCAACAGGGTTCACTTAGCTATTTCAATGAGAATGAAAGAACATCTCCTTGTGCTTTTGATTTGCATCTCTCTACCGGCTACTGGTGCTGAGAAACTTTTCCTGTGTTGGGTGGTCATTTGAAAGTGCTTCTTGGTGAGCTGTCTATTCAAGTTCTTGTTCAATTTATGATTGTCTTTTTAGGGTTAATTTGTTGAAGTTTTACATATATTCTGGTCATTAGGTTCTTATTGACACATGCTTCCTGAAGATATTCTCCCTGAGTTAAAAAAAAAAAAAGATCCAACTTTTCACTCATTTCGTAAAGTCTTTTGATAAAACAAGTTTTTAATTATTAGGAGCCCCATTTTCCTCTGTCGTATGTTGCTTCTGCTTTTGTCATTCTATTACGCAATCCATTGTTAGAAGCTAGGCTTCGTAGTATCGCCTCTGCATTTTCTTCTACGAATGTTATGCTTTAGTTTACACATTTAAGTCCTTAATTCACTTGATTCCCCCCCCCCCACGTGAATGGTGTGAGGTATGGATCCTGTTTCAAATGTCTGTATGTAAAAATCCAGTTTTCCCACCACCATTTACTGAAGAAACATTTGTTTCCTTCATCAAATGGACATAGTGCTCTTGTAAAAAATTAGTTGACCCGATATGTGAGCTTATTTCTGAACTATCAATTCTATTCTATTGCTCTATCAATGGATTGTTACCCCAGAACCAGGTTGTTTTGATTACGGTAACTGTATATTATATTTTAAAGGCAGAAGTGCGATTCTTGCTACCTTATTTCTTTCAGTATTGCTTCAGCTCTTTGGGGCCTTTTGCCAGTCCACATTGAGGATTGGTTTTTCCATTTCTGTAAAGAGAGCTCTTAGAATTGTGATTGAAATTGTGTTGTTGCTTTGCTAGATCACTTTACTGGCATTTTAACAATATGGAAGCTTCCAAACCGAGAATATGGAACATCTTTCCTTTTATCTCAGTCTTCTTTAATCTCTTTCAGCAGGGTTTTGTAGTTTTCATTGTCTACATCCTTCGTGTCCCTGCGTAGGTTACTCTTAGGCATTTGGTTCGCGTAGATGCTGGTGTCAATTTAACCGTTTCCCTTTCAGATCTTCCTCGGAGCTGATGTGCAGAGAGCCCCTGTGCCGACGACTCTGCTAGGTTTCGCGTCAGTACTAGGGGTGAGCTGGAGGGCTCTTCAGGACTGTTCCAGACAGGGTCACGTCACTGTGAACAGAGGTGATTTTACGTCTTCTTTTCCAATCTGGATACCTTGTGTTTCTTTTTCTTGTTACAGTGCGCTGGCTAGGACGTTAAAAGCAATATAGAATAGAAAGGGTGGGCATGGGCGCCTAAGTCTTATTCCCAGTTTCAAGGGGAAATCTCTCCGTTTTTCTCCATTATGTATAAGATTAGCTGTTTGATTTTTACATAGGCCCTGAATCATATTGAGGAATTGCCTTTGTGCTACCATCAAGAAAGAGTTTGGGATTTTATCAAGCTCTTGCTTTTTTTTTTTTTTTTTTTTGCCTCTGTAGAGATGACCTGTGGTTCTTTTCCTTTGTTCTATAGATACGGTGTACCACATGGATTGATGTTCCAATGCTGAACTTTCACGGCATATCTGGAATCAATCTCACGTGGTCATGGTGCATGACCCTTATAATGTGTTATTGAATTGTGTTCACAAGTTCACATGTCCTTCTAGTTGCGGTTGAGCTAAACTGTTGAGTTGAGATCCTTCTTCGGTTTTCATATAGACAGTCACACCTGTACGTGTCCCTGTGAAGACTGCCTTTTTCTGTATCCCCACGTTTGCAGCTGCTGGGGCCCCATAGGTTTGTATTGATTGATCTTTTGGGGGTGGGTTTCCAGGCCTCTCTCCCGAGGCATATCTGGGTGGATTCAAACCTCCAACCTTTCTGTTAGTAGCTGATCACGTTGACTGCTTACACCACCTAGGGAATCGTCCCTCGTCTTCACCTTTGTCCCTTCCCACTGAATCTACACATTGCCAACGCTGAGAATCCCATTTCTTAGCTGAGCGTTTGCTGAGTGCCCCAGGCACCTCCCCACTGCTGCAGAAAGTCCTCTCTCAGGGGTACCCCCACCCCACCTCCCCACTTCCTTCTTTTGCCAGTGGAGTGGCCCACAGGGCAGCTGAGGGGACAAAAGCCAGAGAGAGAGACCAGCTGGAAGATTCCAGCCACCCCTCTACTCCCCCTCTAGACCTGACAGCTCTGTGCAAACCTGCCCTGATTTCCGCCAGGACCGCTTCTCTTGTTCTCTGCCTGGTGTCAATTTAATGCTGGTGTCATACATATCACACATGCACAAGAGGTTTCTTTGAACGCATGGAGCTGATTGCCGGGTTTAATGTGGCTAAAGTGGATAGGAACCTATGGCTTCTGGTCCAGTTCCCTCAAAGACCCGGAGACAAAAGGAAAAGAGAAGAGCAGAGAAAGGATTAGCCAAGGTCACAGTTGAAGGTCCAGTTGGGACCCCCAAGTTTTTCCTGTTCCTGCCACCACCACCCATCTTTATGGTTGCTGGCTCAGAGGGTGTGGGTGATGCAGGTGGCATTGGGGGAGAAACAGGGAGCGGACATAGCAACAACGGGGCACCATGCTGAGTGCTGGCAGTCAACGGTACAATTCATATGGAAGGCAAAGTTAAATAAAAAGTGGAATGGATGTGACAAGGTCCCAAGAAGCAAAGTTGGATGTGAATGTCAATTGTAGGTGATCTTTTATTATCTTGGATGTTTGGGGACTAGGGTGGGGTCTTTGGACAAGAGACTGAAAACGCACAGGGTGTGTCTGAGGCATTGAAAGGTCATGGCTCTTGCCTGGAAGGGACATAGGAGTCAAATGAAAGGCATTTTCCCATTCATTCATTCATTCATTCATTCATTCAGTATGTCTGTGGGCTGCCTATGTGCCAGGCCCCAGGCTGGATGCCAGGGTAAGAGATAATGAGATGAGTATGATGCAGATCCTGCCCTTGGGGAGATTCCTGGGCCTCTGGGTTGACAGGAAGAGGCCCGGGGAAGGGCAGCCCTCCACTGGGTCTAAAAGGAGCTGCCCACATGTGGCTGCTGTGACACTGCCGGACACTCCTCTCCATCAGGGACATTGACCAACAGGACCCAGCTTCCTAAAGGTCCTCTGGGCGGTCCACCCCAAACACAACGCAAAGCCGGTGCACTGCCTATCAGCTGGGGGCTTGTGGGCTTGCTTCTTGCCTCTCAGTCCTAATACAAGGCCTGGCTCTGAGAGAACGCTCCATCCATGGTTGAGGCCTACATGAATGGTGACGAGGCGATGTCATCGCATGTCTGAGACCGGCTGGGGTTATATAAGCATGCTCGGGGGCAGGAGCAGGATGGGGCATGAAGGAGGGACGGCCCGGCATCCATTTCTGTGCCTGGAGATGACCTCAGGAAGCCCTGGTGATATCACGGCGAAGCACCGGCTGCTCACTGGAAGGCTGGCCTTGGAAGCCCACTAGCAGCTCCCAGGCAATCCACTTCCGGTGGGCGAGGACAGCCTAGGAAGTCCCATGAGGAAGCCCAACTCTGTCGATTGGGGTGGGTCTGAGTTGAAAGCCGCTCACCCAGGCCTCCCAACACCTGCAGCCGAGCGGAGCTAGCGCTCAAGGAACACTTGAAGGGTCAATTCCCAGAAAGGAAGTAAATCGCTAGGAACAGAATGAGGTCGACTGCCAGAAGTGAAATGGCCAGAAGCCCCAGTAGATAGGAAGCATAGCTCCAGGGCCCAGCTGCACTGAGGGAGGTGGAAGAGCTAGGCCAGGGCAGTTGGTCTTGCAGGATGGAAGAAGTGGAAGAGGGTGATAACAGGAAGGGGAGTGGCCCTCAGGCAGGCAGCACGCTGATGGCGGAGGACTCTTGAGCCTCATGAGACGGAGTCTGCATCCCAAAGAGCAGCCATAGAGAGCCAGGGGGAGGGAGGGAGGTGTGGCGGCAAAGGTGACCGCAGGCCTGCAGGGGGAATGAAGAGGAGGCCCTGGACCACTAGGGGGCCACAGGCAGGCAGATCCTCGGGTGCCGAGGCCCGGGGGGCCAGCAGAGAGCTATTGGGGGAACACTGTCAGTGGCTAAGGGGGCATCGGAGCGTAGAGGGGCACCACCAGATCCAGACAACAATGGCATAGCCCCCAACCCTGTGCTTCTGAGGACAGCCGCTCTCACAGTTGGCTTTTGAGTTTTGCAAAAAGGCACGGGGAGAAAGACAAGGCTCGCTGGCCCTGTAGAGAGTCACAGCTGGACACCTGCGGGGACAGCTCCACTCTGTCCTACAGGGTCGCTGCCAGTACGAACCGCCTCGATGGTAGTGGGCTTGGTTTTGCTCCAAGGAGACAGTCTCGTAGGGAGCAAATGGTTAACATGCTCAGCTAGGAACTGAAAGGTCGGAGGTTCAGGCTCACCCAGAAGCACCCCAGAAGAAAGACCTGGAGATTTCTCCTCGCCTCCTCCCCCCCAAACGAAACAGCAACCCTGATCACTGAAGGTGCTGTGGAGTTGGACCTGCTCCAGGAGGCGGGCTGACTGGGCGGCAGCCGGTGGAGGGTGCTGAGAGGGGAGAACAGACAAGCTCCGCCTCGTCCAACCTGCGGGCACCAGCGTGGGGCAGGAAAGGGACGCTGACCAGGATGGTGTGTGCGTTGGGGGAGGGGGTGGTTACCTTGAAGAGCTGGACGCCGACACAGGCAAATATGAACTGCAGGAGGGTGGTGACCAGGACGATGTTCCCGATGGTGCGGATGGCCACGAACACGCATTGCACCACGTGCTGGGGAGAGAGGGTGGGGCTGGTGGGGTGGGCCAGGTCCTGGCGGACCCCCACCAAGTGCCGTCTCCCTGCTGGGAACCAGGCTGTGCCTCAGGCTGATCCTGGCTTGACGGAGGATGTGGACTGCTGACGTCCCCCACCGCCCCTCACCCCCAGGATCCTGCCCTGCCCCCCTCACCTTCAGCCCTTTGGCTCTGTTGATGGCCCGGAGGGGTCGAAGCACCCGAAGCACCCTCAGGATCTTGACCACAGAGATGGCGCTGGACCTGTGGGAGGTAGCAGAGGGCTGAGGGCCGAGGGCACGCAGTGAGCACCCCAGCCCCTGCCTCCAGCTCTCTCCACAGAGGCTGCCTTTCTCCCGAAAACACCCCAGCCTTCCCCTGCCCTCCCCTCAGACCGTATGTAGGGGCCCCTCTTGTTGCTAGCTGCCTTAGCTGCCTGTTGAGCTGGCCCCCAATTGACGGCAACCCTGTGCATGATGGGATAGAATGCGCCCCGGTCCTGGACGACCCCATGATCGGTCACCGAGCAACAGAGCTGTGATTCAGAGGATTTCCCTCGACCAGTTTTTGGAAGCAGGTCAGCTGACCTTTACTCTTAGCCCAAGCCAAAATACCCCGATCGCAACCCCTCCCCACCCAGGGTGCTTCACAGCAGACGCCTCCCCTCTGAGCAGACAGATGCTCTGTCTGTCCCATCAGACTAGAAGCTGCTCACAGGCAGGAGCTCCCCCCACACAGCTGGGGGCTGCCTTCTATGCCCGGGGTTCTCCACAGTCTGCACGGCAATTCTGGAGAGTACTAGCAAGCTGTCCCTGAAGTCCAGCTGGTGAAAGCCCCCCAGACAGTGGCCCCGAAGGACCCTCCACTAGCAGCATGGTGCCCACCAAGAAATGGTGGGTGGGCTTCTGCTCTGAGGCCCTGGCATGGGGTGGAGGGGCTCCCTGCCCAGGCTGGTCCCTGCCCAGGCTGGTCCCTGCCACCGCTCACCGGAGGCCCATGGAGATGAGCGACACTGCGACCACAAGCAGGTCCAGGATGTTGAAGTAGTTCCGGCAGAAGGAGCCCTTGTGCAGGATGGCACCGAAGGTTATCATCTGGGGGGAGAGCAGTCATGTGCTGGGGGGCCTGCACCCTTGCTGGTGTCCCCCATCGTTCAGTGCATTTGCTATTGTGCCGTCCCACTGCCCTGCCCCTGCTGTCTCTCCTTAATGCGATCCCCAACATGTGGGAAACAGAAAGATTTCTCCAAAGTTGTCTCCCCCAAACATGTGCCAAACCCAAGAGGCTGCTTGGTCCGCATGGTAAATGACTGTGCACTAGGAGGTCAGAGGTTATTCTCCTTAAGGGTGTCTAGAGCAACCAGAGTGTATAGTCTGACTCACCCTACGTAGGGCCCACTCCCTTCTGATATTGTTCCCTTGAAGGAGAGCCCGAAGGAAGGCCTGGGACCACTCAAGGATGACTAAGGTTAGGCTCCGATATTGAGTCTAGGGTCCACCCATCTTGCCACATATGCAACCCTATTCCCTCCCTGTACTATTACACGTACACCACTAGGTCATCCCCCGCCTACTGCTTGTATTGCCTATGTTACAACCCCTTCCTATGACATAGATTGTTATCTGTAATCAGAGGGCTTGCATGCCCCCAAAGATATATAAGCTTTGGTTAGAAATAAAACCTCACGAGAGCTCTCTCCTGCCTCCTGCCTCCCACCTCCCACCTCCACGTGGGCCACCAAGAGGAGCTGAGGTGAGCATGCTACCATGAAACGTGTCTGACTTCTTCATTTTCCTCTCTCTCCTCTCTCTCCTATCTCTCTGTGACTTTACTATCATCTTTATATGTCTTAACCATACAATTGCACCTACCGAGCCCGTGATGAGTTGTGGGGGGCTGGTTACTCCCACACCAATAACTTTCAGGTCTAGCAAGAATGCCACCTCCTCCAGGAGGCCCTCCTTGACGAGGAGGAAGTCACTACCTGGGATGCTCACCTTCTCTGACTGCCGAGGCCCTGAATCAGCTGCCCTCCCGATGTCATGGCACAGCTTGTTCCTTGGGCACGGCTACTCTCCCCCTCTTTGGTCATGGGGCTCTGTGCCACACCCTGAGCCTCACCATGAGCTGAAGCCTTGTGGCCACTGAAAGCCTGAGGGAGCTTGGGTCAAGCTGTGGGCAGGGGATGAGAGGGACAGAGGCTCCCGACACCCAGCCTGGGGCAATGGGGACTCCTTTGGGACTTCTGGAGGGAGGCCTTTTGTGGTGGTTACATAATTTCATGTCAATTTGAAGGTAGATAAAAGTGTAGGGGTGGAGTCTAGCCAGTCGATCAGGCCACAACCTGTCAATTAGGCCACAGGCTGATGGTGCCTCCTTGTGGGCGTGGCCTTCTCATAAGGAGGGTCCTGGGAACCTCCCCTCTGCCTTCCTGTTGGCTGACCCTGATTGCTGCCAGGGCCACCGACACTGGAGCCACAGGACTTTCACCCACCAGCCTGTGATCTTCCTGCATGCGGCATCATTGTATGTGGCTGCATGAGTCTGAAGCGAGACTTAAGGACCAGTATCAGAGACTTAAGGACTTGAGTTGGACTGGGCTGGGATGTTTTCTTAATTTCCAATTACTTCTTGACATAACGCTCTTTCTTACACATATATGAGTGTCACTGGATTTGTTTCTCAAATCCACCCAGCTTAACACACCCTCCTAGCCATTGGTCATGCGGTCTATGAGCAACCACAGCTCCCGGGTCTATGCCGCAGCGATTCTGCCTTCAGTGTGCAAGAGGCCGTCCATCAAAGGCTTTGCAGGCGTGGTTAGTGCTCTGCTGGGAGCCGGGCTGGGCTTCACGGCTCCACCCCGCCGCCCACTCTCCCTCTCATTGCAGAGAACGAGCTGGCACCCGATGCTGACCTCCCCGCCTTGGCCAACCCCAGCCCCTGAGTGAGTTTGGCACGAGTAAGTTGAAGTCCCACCAGGGAAGGTTGGGGTGTTCCAAACCCTTCACTCACCTTAAGGACAATCTCCACGGTGAAGACAGAGGTGAACACCATGTCGAAATACTCAAGGATCTGTGGACAGAGTGGGGGACCGAGGGGGGACGGGGAGTCAATGAGAGGAAGGACTGGGAATGGTCTCTTCCTCCTCATCATCAAAAAGCAGGCGGGGAGAACCTGTGTGTGCCCCAGGCTATGGCAGCAGAGTCCAGGAGGGAGCTGGGCATCCCGGCCCCTCCTCAGCACAGAGGCCGCACACAGCTGCATTCGAGCACCA